AAAAAAAAAAAGAAAGAAAGAAAGAAAACTAGAAAAGATTAAAATACCCCTGGAGAAGAGAGTTTGGGGAATAGTCATAATGAGGGAGGGAGAGGCAGGTGCCAGTTGCAATAGGATGGAAAATGAAGGGGAGGTGAGAGACATGAGGACAGAGGATCAGGAATGTGGATTAGGCATCTTTGTCTGTGTGGTCTGTATCATTCAGTGCTGAGAGCTGAGAATATTGGCAGACGTATAAACCATGTAACATGGGCACGTTTTTTTGGTCCCTGCTTCACAAGTGAGAAGACTTTTATATGTTGAACTTGTAAAGTTTCAACATGGCTTTAGAATACTGTCTCTTCAGGTGGGAATAGGAGGTATGGCCTTGAGCATACCTGCAGCACAGAGATTACATAAGATAAATCACCCTGAGAGGATCTCATGTGTACAGGTTACAACCCCAAGATGAATGGAGAAGGATGTGTGTCCTTGGGCCCCTTTTTTTATTGGTTCCTTGTCTTTCCTGTCCAGGAACAGGAAGAAATAGATTTGATTGAGGGAACTTCCCATCTCTAACAGCAGCCTCTTATTTCTCTTCCCAGATAGTGACAAGACCCCATTCTCCTGGGCTGGACTCCTTTCTACAGCTAGGAGTCAATGGCAGGAGACAGAATCAAGCCCTGTGAGCTGGACCAAGAGAAATATGATGCTGATGACAATGTGAAGATCATCTGCCTGGGGGACAGTGCAGTGGGCAAGTCCAAGTATGTTGTGAGGTTAGGGAAGAAAGACCAGGCCAAGAGTGGGTCTGGGTCATTAGAAAAAGTCCTCCAGAGGCATAGAGGAGCATAGCTAATGTAGGATGGTAAGAGAGTAGTCTTGGCTGGAGCCCTGGTGTGCGTGAGGAAGTGAGGAGAATCACATGAGCAGTTGTATATGTTAGCGGAAGGGGACAGTCATAGGACTGAGGAATTAGAGCATTTCCCTAAGTCATGACAGCAGTGAAGCAGGTGAGGATACTGTATGTGGTCTGTTGACTGAAGGATTGCAAGGACAAGGGAGTGGGAATGAAGAGAGGAAATTGACCACACAACCAAATGACAGATTGAATATAGGTGGTAAAGATGCTTTCTGGAGGGCTTCACTGAAGTTGAGAAGAGTGGATAGAAATTATGATTAACTATAGTCATTGTGAAGACTGGCTTATTCAGTGCCTCTCCATCTAGACCAGCTGTTCTCAACCTTGGGTCATGACCCACAGGAACTGTATTAAAGGGTCATGGCATTAGGAAGGTTGAGAACCACTGACCTAGAGAATTGATCCTCTACAGTGCTTATTTCCGTGAGACATTCTATTTTCACTGTCTAAGGCTGGTGAAGGCACATTGTCCATTTCTGCCCTTAAAAGATGAGGGTAGAGTTGCCCATCCCAAGTGCTCTAAGCCCACCTTGTATTCTACTTTGATTATTATTAACATATCCTTGCACTTGGGTGGCTATGAATAATTCTCTAGGAGCTTGGCTGGTTTTGAGGCTATCGTCATGAATTCATATTCTCCCTCTTTCCCTTCCCTACCCCACACCCAGACACTGCAGCTCTGGTTTAGTATTTTGCAGTTGCTTTGACTGTCCTCAATAACATACATATACAATAAAAATGAGGGTAGGTGTTGTAGTTTGGGAAGGCTGCCCAATAAATAACAGCCCCTTTACCTCCACCCAAGTTTTGAACCAACAAAGAGAAAATAAGAAAGGCAGACAGGTGGAAAATAGATTGTCAGCTTAATGGTTGGTGGAGCTTTTGGAGGATATAGCCAGGTGTGAGAAACCAGATGGTCTGCCTACTTAGTGATATGCAGCCCCCAAGTTCAATGCTGGTTTGTTTGTTGGCATGCAGTTGTTCATAGAGTTCTCTTAAAACCCTTTTAATTTTTGTGAAATTGGTATTCATGCCCCAGATTTATTTCTGATTTTGGTTTTTTGGTGGGATTTTTTTCTTTTTTTTTTTTTTTTTAGATAGATTCTCACTTAGTCACCCTCAGTAGAGTGCTGTGGTATAGAGTGCTATGGCATCATAGCTTACAGCAACCTCAAACTCTTGGGCTTAGGTGATCCTCTGCCTCAACCTCCCGAGTAGCTGGGACTATAGGCACCTACCGGAATGCCTGACTATTTTTAATAGAGATGGGGTCTCACTCTTGCTCAGGCTGGTCTCAAACTCCTAAGCTCAAGTAATCAAACCTGCCTCAGCCTCCCTGAGTGGTATTACAGGTGTGAGCCACTGCGCCTAGCCCTGGTTTTGTTAATTTGCATCTTCCCTCTCTTTTTCTAAAGGTTTGTTAATTTTTTTGATCTCAAAGAACCAACTTTTGTTTCATTGATTTATTTTTCTCTTCTCTATTTTATCTCTAATCTTTACTATTTTGTTCCTATTGGTAGCTTTGGTTTTAATTTCCTATTCTTTGTCAAGTACCTTAGGGCAGGCGATTATGTTACTGATTTGATTTTTCTTTTTCATTTTTAATGTATTCATTTACAGATATACGTTACATTTTTTTCTCTTAGAACTTCTTTCACTTTATCTTACAAGTTTTGGTATGTGCTGTTTTCATTTTCATTCATCTCAGGTGTTTTCTAGTTTCCCTTTTTTTTTTTTTTTTTTTTTTTTTTTTGAGACAGAGCCTCAAGCTGTCCCCCTGGGTATAGTTACGTGTTATTACAGCTCACAGCAACCTCCAACTCCTGGGCTCAAACGAGTCTCCTGCCTCAGCCTCCCAAGTAGCTGGGACCACAGGCCCGGCTATTTTTTGGTTGCAGCCGTCATTGTTGTTTTAGCAGGCCCGGGCTGGATTTGAACCCGCCACCTTAGGTGTATGTGGCTGCTGCCTTAGCCACTTGAGCCACAGGCACCGAGCCTCTAGTTTCCCTTTTAATTTCTTCTTGACTCCTTGGTTTTTAAAAAGTGTATTGTTAAATTTTCACATATTCGTGAATTTTCCAGTTTTCTTCTGTTACTGATTTCCAGTTTCATTCCATTGTCATTGGCAAAGATACTTTGTATGATCTTAATCTTTTAACTTTATTTATTTTTTTTTTGCAGTTTTTGGCCAGGGCTGGGTTTGAACCCACCACCGCTGGCATATGGGGCCAGCGCACTATCCCTTTGAGCCACAGGCGCCACCCATCTTTTAACTTTATTAAGACTTATGGTCTGTCCTAGAAATAGTCTCTCTTCACTTGAGAAGAATGTGTATTATGCTGTTAGTGTGTGAAGTGCTATGTATATTGGTTAGACCTGATTGGTTTCAGTCCTCTGTTTCCTGTTTGATCTTCTGTCTGGATGTCCTGTTATTAAAACTCAGGTGTTCTACAGTGCATTTTACAAGGGTACATGTTAAATTTATTAAGTGTAGAATATAAATGTCTTGACATATAAATGTCTTGACACAATAACTAATAAAATGCGTTGAAGGCTATGTTAACCAGTTTGATGAAAATATTTCAAATGGTATATAAAACCACCCCATTGTGCCCCATGATTACATTAATGTACACAGCTATGATTTAATAAAAAAAAAAACTGAGGTATTAACTTTCCTAAATATGGAAGTGTTTATTTCATCTTTCAATTGTGTTAGTGTTTACACAGTATGTATTTTGTGGCTCTGTTGTTCTGGTGCATACAACCTTCATATAATACAACATTTTATCTTCTTGTTGAAGTAAACCTTTTGTCAGTTTATACCCATTTATTTAAATCATCTTTGGTTTTTTGCACTTTTCAGCGTATAAGTCTTGTAAATGTTTTAGATTTACATATAGATACTTTTTAGTGATTCTGTATGCTATTGTGTTTTTCATTTCACTATTAATATGTTCATTGCTAGTATATGGAAATATAATTCATTTTTATATGTTGATCTTGTATCCCATGACCATGCTGAACTTACTTCTAGTTGTAGGAGTCTTTTTTGTAGATTCCTAGAGATTTTCTGTGTAGACCTTCCTGGCATCTGCAAATAAGGACAGTTGTATTTCTTCTTTTCTGATTTGTATGCCTTTTATATCCTCCCCCACTCCCATGGCACTGGCTATAACTTCTAGTACTATGTTAAATAAGAGTGGTAAGAACAGACATCTTTGTGTTGTTCGTAATCTTAGGAGCAGCACATTCCATCTTTTCACCATTGAGTATGATGTTAGCTATAGGCGTTTGTAAAGCATTTTTATCAAATTATAGAAGTTCCCCTTTATTGCTGGTTTTTTCAAAGCTTTTATCGTGAGTGGGTGTTGATTTTGTTCAGATATCTTTTCTGCATCAATTAATATTATCATATGATTTTTCTTCTTTGGCCTATTAATATGGCATTTTACGTTGGTTCTCAAAGATTGAACCAGCCTTGCATTACTGAAATAAAGAATATTTGGTCTTTAACACTTAAGTTATGGTGTATAACTTTTTTTTTTGCTGGATTCTGTTTGCTAATACTTTGTTAATGATTTATGCTTCTGTGTTCATCAGGGATATTGATATAGACTTTCTTTTTTTATTTTGTATTATCTTTGGCTTTACTGTCAGGGTTAACTGGTATAATAAGATGAAATGGGAAATATTCTCTCCTTCCAGTTTTCTAGAAGTGATTGTGTAAAATTGATGTTAATTCATTAAATGTCTGGTAAAACTTTCCCTAGAAAACATTTGGGTCTGGAGAGTTTTGAGGGAGGGGATAGGATTCTTTTAATTATGAAATAAATTTCCTTAGTAGTTATAGACCTGATCAGATGGTCTTTTTCATATCAAGTGAGTTTTTGTAGTTTGCCTTTTTATGGAATTGGCCCATTTTGTCAAAGTTGTCAGTAGAGTTGTGTGTAGACTTGTTTGTGGAAGGCTTTAAGAACTATGTGTGTTAGATAAGCTGTATTCATGTGTGAGTTACAGTGCTTTTGGCTAGGAGGTCAATGATAATGAAACCCCAATATGAGGGGTCTTCATAAATTTCATGGAAAATGCATATTATGAAAAAGTAATGTATAGATCTGAAAATTTTTTGTCATAAAAAAAAAACTCATACTACTTATAACATGCTTGAGCAGATCTAATTTGAGGCACTAAGAAGGATAAGATAAGACATCAGTTTGGAAAAAAATCCTATCAGAACAACATGAATTCTCCTAAAATAGCTTGAGTGGAAGAATGCTGGAATCACTGAAACACTGATGCTTTATGAACAGTTTGTGGAAACAATGCACCAATTAATCATTTACAGTTACTTAAAGGATAAGATGATGTTGAAGATGAAGCCCACAATAGCAGACCTTCCACATCACTTTGCAAGAAAAAATTATTCTTTTTTGTGTCCTAATTGAAGAGAACTAACAATTAACAGCAGAAACAATAGCTAACACCATAGACATCTCCGTTGTTCAGCTTACACAGTGCTGCCTGAATATTTAAAGTTAAGCAAATTTTCTACTCGATGGTAACAAAACTGTACAACCACATCAACTGTAGATAAAGGCAGGGCTTTCAATGCAAATTTTAAACAAGTGGGATCAAGATCTTGAAGATGGAGCATGGCTTTACCAGTATAATCGTAAAGACAAAACACAGTCAAAGCAATGGCTACCAAGAGTTGGAAGTGGTCCACCCAAAGCAAAAGTGGACCAGTCAAGAGCAAACGTCAAGGCAACAGTTTGAGGAGTTTTGTTTGTTTTGTTTTGTTTTTGACACTTACTGCATTTTGCTTATTCACTTTCTGGAGAGCCAAATAATATCATCTGCTTATGAGAGTGTTTTTTGTGTTGTTTGGGAGTTTTTTGTTTTTTAAGACAGAGTCTCACTTTGTTGTCATCAGTAGAGTGCTGTAGAATCATAGCTCAAACTCTTGGGCTCAAGCAGTCCTCTTTCCTGAGCCTCCTAAGTAGCTGAGACTACAGGTGCCTGTCACAACATCCAGCTATTTTTTTAGAGATGGGGTTTCACTCTTGCTCGGGCTGGTCTCAAACTCCTGAGCTCCAGCCATCCGTCCACCTGCCTCAACCTCCCAGAGAGCTAGGATTACAAGGGTGAGCCACCACACCCAGCAGCTTATAAGAATGTTATGAGAGGGCGGCGCCTGTGGCTCAAAGGAGTAGGGCGCTGGCCCCATATACCGGAGGTGGCGGGTTCAAACCCAGCCCCAGCCAAAAACTGCAAAAAAGAGAGAGAGAGAATGTTATGAGAAGGTTAGCCAAAGCTTCAGCAGAAAAACATACCAAGAATGCTTTGCCAGGGAGGCCTTCTCTACCACAACAATGCTGTTGCTCATTCCTTTCATCAAATAAGGGCAATTTTGCAAGCATTTCAATGGGAAATCATTAAGCATCCACGTTATAGGCTTTCTGACTTCTTTTTTTTTTTTTTTTTGAGACAGAGCCTCAAGCTGTTGTCCTGGGTAGAGTTCCGTGGCATCACAGCTCACAGCAACCTCCAACTCCTGGGCTTGAGTGAGTCTCTTGCCTCAGCCTTCCAAGTAGCTGGGAGTACAGGCACCTGCCACAACACCCAGATATTTTTTGGTTGCAATAAAGAAGCTCGCCATTTTGCCTGAGTGACGAAATGGTCACCTTTACTTAAAACACACACACACACACACACACACATATTATAATGCACATATTTTTTGGTTGCAGCCGTCATTGTTGTTTGCCAGGCCTGGGCTGGACTCAAACTTGCCAGCTCTGGTGTATGTGGCTGGTGCCTCAGCCACTTGAGCCAGAGGTGCCTAGGCAAGCTTTCTGACTTCTTTTCCTTTTCTAATCCTAAAATAATCATTGAAGGGCACCCATTTTAATTTAGTTAATAATATATAAAAGTCTACATGGACTGAATTCCAAGGACTCTCAGTTCTTTAGGGAAGGAGTAAATGTATCATTGCTTACAAAAGTGTCTTGATCTTGATGGAGACAATGTTATTCAGAAATAAAGTGATTTTTTTGTTTAGTTTTCATCTTTTAATTCCGTTTTTCCATGAACTTTTTAAACCGTGCTATATATTAAAGAAGGTGTTTAAACAGAAATATACATAAAACGAAGTTATATATTGCTTGACTGATGAAAATGCAACCAGAGGCTCACAGGAATCTAACCTCTTATTTCCCATAGGAACATCAGTTCAGTATTGACTATCAATGTGTTTGTGATGACCTTGTGAACTATTGTAAATAATGAGAATCATCTGTAATTATTGATTTACTAGTGCTTAAGTCTGCCCATTTGGTTTGTATTTTCCATTTTAAGAGTTCTTTTTCTGCTTTCCTATGGGTTAAACACTTTTAAAATTCTATTTTAATTTGTCTATAGTGCTATTGAATCTATCTCTTCGTATATTTATTATAAAGTTCAATGATTCTTTCCTTTGTCCACCATCCTACCCTGAGCCCATCAAATAAATTTTTCATTTTTGTTATTGTATTTTCCAAATGTTTTAAAAATTCTATTGGTTTCTTCTTTATATCTTCTTTGCTGAAAAATAATCTCTTTGCTGAAAATGTATTTCTTTTCTTAGAATATCTGTATTTTCATTTGTTTCAAGCACATCCATACTTTTCTCATTGCAGCGTTTTTATGACTATAAAGAGCTTTGTTAGATAGCTGTAACATTTCTATCATCTCTGTGTCACTCTGTTGATTTTCTTTATTCACTCAGTTTGAGATCTTCCTGGTTCTTGGTATGATGAACAATTTTCTTTCTTTTTTTTTTTTTTTTGCGACAAAGTCTTCTTTTGCTCAGGCTAGAGCACTATAGCATCAGCCTAGTTCACAGCAACCTCAGACTCCTGGGTTCAAGCGCTCCTCCTGCCTCAGCCTCCCAAGTACCTGGGACAACAGGCACCTTCCACAACACTGGTTAAGTCTTTTATTTTTAGTAGAGACAGGGATCTCTCTCTTGCTTAGGCTGGTTTCAAACTCCTGAGCTAAAGTCATCCACCCACCTTGGCCTCCTAAAGTGCTGGGATTACAGGCAAGAGCTCCCATACCTAGCCTAATGAATAATTTTCTATTGAAACTTGGAGTATCAGGTTTTGAGCCTCTGAGTCTTACTCAAATCTTCTATTTATCTGCCTTTTTTTGTTGTTGTTGTTCTTTGTTTGTTTTTGTAGAGATGAGATATTGCTGTTGTTCAGGCTCTTCTCAAACTCCTAGCCTCAAACTTTCCTCCTGCCTCAGCCTCCCAAAGTTTTACGATTACAGGCGTGAGCTGCTGTGCCCTGCCATGTTTACCTGGCTTCTTGTGGCACTACTTCAACAGGGGCAACACGCACCCATACCTCCCTCTTCATTACTACCAGTGGGGCCAGGGGTGGTGGCTCACACCTGTAATCCTAGCACTCTGGGAGGCCGAAGCGGGTGGAAAGCTTTAGCTCACTGGTTCGTGACCAGCCTGAGCAAAAAATGAGACCCTATATCTACTAAAAGTAGAAAAACTGAGGCAAGAGGATCGCTTGAGCACAAGAGTTGGAGGTTGCTGTTAGCTGTGACACCAGCGTACTCTACCCAGTGTAACAGCTTGAGACTCTGTATCAAAAAATAAAAAGCACATTACTACCAGTGGTGTAGTCTAGGCTCCATTGACACTGGGTGGAGGCCTTGTTACTGTCTGACAGAGATGAGAGTTCTGGCACTGGCTGACCTTCTGTGACACTAATCCAGCTTGGGAGTGTTGCTAGGATGCCTTACCCTCCGTAGGTGGGGCCACGAATTTTCCATGGTGTTGGGATTGTGGTTGAGGTCTAAATGTGTTTTGTCTCTTAGCACTTATCTTTATGTGTTCCTTTTGTTGGATGGAACTCAAGGGATCCTCCCACCTCCATCTCCCATGAGCCACTGTGACTAGCCTATGTGCAGAGTTTTTAGTCGTCCTTAGAAGGGGAGTAGGAAAAGTACATCTACTCCATTTTCCCATAAGCAGAAATTATATGGAACTTTTATATTTTTTAATCTTAAATATTTAAGTATTCTTAATGATGTCCTTTCTAATCTATAAGGTGTTTATAAGTGGCTTTATATGTTTGATTATCTGTTAATTTTATAACAGGGTTGTTAAAATTTAGTGTGTATTTTCAGTTTATTTAATTGCATTATGGTACAGGATATGATCTTGATGATATCTTTTGAGAGGAGGGTATTTTTTTTTTTTGAGATTTAGTATATGGTCTGTTGGTGGACAGTGGTTATGAAAGCCAGAAGAAGATATGTACTGTCTCATTGGATACAGGGATATGTACTGTATCTGGCTTATTAACTCTGTTCACATTTATCTATTCAAATACTAAGCATGACTGTACCTTCGGCTCTGTTCTATTCACTGGGGAAGCCGCAGTAAACTACAAATTCATGTACATTCCATTTAAGTTGAGAGACAGTAAATAAGATACTTAATATTTCAATTGGTGTTACATGCAGTGCAGGTTGCCAAGGATGATCTCACTGCTTGGGTGATATTTGAGCAAAGCCCTGAAGAATCTGCAGGATTTGGGGAAATGGCTTTTGGGTAGAGGGCAGAGCCTTCCTCGCCCCAGTTTACCTGTGCATGACATGGGAGACTGTGTGTGCAGCACTGTGCCACAGTGGATGTCATGGACCTGAGAGCTGTGCGGGGCTGGTCTGTCACTTGTATGATATGAGTTACTGTGTAAAGGTGATTCTCACCTTCCGGGCCTGACCTGGAAATGGGTTATGGAATGACTGGGGGAGAGGGGTGGCTTCCACATTGTCATCTTGGGGGTAGTAGACTAGGGGCAAGGGGGAGATGGGGATGCCACCTGACCACTGTGCATGTTCTCCTTACAGACTCATGGAGAGATTTCTCATGGACGGATTGTATCCTTCAAGGTTTGACACGCCCCTTGTTCTTGGGGTCTTCCCACACTCTCGTGTCTCCACCCCACTGCCCATCCCTTTGCACCAGCAGCCCAGGCAGGGATGGGTAAGTAAATATACAGGTTTCATTCATATTGGTTTCTTGGTGATCAATGTGCATAATATTGCACAATCAGTGCAGTACATTTTGGAGCTTACATTTGGATTCGTCTTATAGTAGAAAGGCAGTAGAATGGCTTACAGCACATGGAATGCATCAAACTCTGCCTCCTCCTCCTCAGTAGCTTCTGATCTTGGAAAAGTCACTTAGCCTCCCTTGGGCCACCTAATACTTAACAAATCTCTGATGTAAATGACCTTTATAACATATAAGATGCCAGCCCCTTCTTCCTCCCATGAATTGTTACATTGTGCAGGTTTGGAGCAAGATCCTCCCTGCATCTGGAAGGTTTTTTAAAGGCTTCCCAGTGGTTCCACTGAGAAATGCAGGTAAGAAGAACCCCTGGAACCTATTTCTCCCCACACTGGGGCCAGCAACCCAGTGCTAATTGCTGCAACCCAGTGCTAAAAGTGCCCTGGGATCTGAGTATATCTTGCTCTACCCTATACCAAGCAGTCCCAGCACACCGGTATCATCTCAGCCTTGCTAATTAAGCTGTCTGGCATCTTGGAGCTTCAGCAGACATCATTGCCCAGGCTTTTTGTTAGGGTTTCACACACAGGCTACCTACAATTTATAATCAACTTATCTTTTGTCTAACTTACAGGATTATACCCCCACACACACACCAAATGGTCATGTTGCTACCTAGGGTTATAGTTTCCTTCTAGCCTAGAAGAGCTCCATCCATGAAAGAGGTAGAGTATTCATAGTTGCATTTTCTACCTCCATGATGCCATTTATGACAGCTCCTTTCTAAAATTCTATGTTTTACCTCGGACTTAGGTGGCCTGGACTCACTCCCAGTTCCTCCCACCCCTCACCCTTCCATGGAGTCTTTGCCAGTGATATTTGAAGCTGATCCTTTGTTTGCAACATACCTTTGATTTAAAATCTAAATAGCTACAAAAAGGAAAGAAATGAGACAATCCATTTTATCACACCAAACACTCCTGCTCCCTGCTTTTTCTTTACCTCCCCTTTTATTGATTTTTGCTCCTTAACCTGAATGCAGCCAGCCACAGCAGTTGTCCACGTATGCCCTGACCCTGTACAAGCACACGGCCACAGTAGATGGCAAGACCATTCTTGTGGGTGAGCATCATGGGGCCAAGCTATGTGAACCCTCAAGGGTGAGGAAATGAGATGGGAAAAGGTCCATGGGAGAGGTCTGGGAGGAGGATCAAGGGGTTATAGGGAAAATGCCAAAAGTCAGAAACCAGAAGGCCAGGGAGGGAGGAAGGAGGCTTACAGGGGACAAGGTCTCCCCCTGACCTAGCATCCACACCAGGACCAGTGTGCAGGACACAGTTCAGAAAAGCAGGAGTCAGGGCTGTGCCCACCAGAGAGAAGAGGAACAGAGAGCCTTTGACACGGCAGTAGCTTTCCTAGTTTCAGGGGTTCTCCTTCAGCCAGTGTAAAAGATATAACAAATGTGGTCAAAATGTTATCTCTCACATAGGGTTTTGACCTTTTCCTTGGCCAGGCCACTTAGCCTGCCTGCCTGTGTCTACCAACTGCAATCAGCAGATATAGGAAGTCAGCCAGTTTTGACCTCAGGGACCTGCCTCTTATGTGTGAGAATGAGGGGGAATCCACCTCTCCTCCTGAGGCTTCCTCCTGGCCCCTGGCCCATGTCCTTCCATGCACACAGGTGCACACACACCTCTCACAGCACACCCAGGTATACTGTGTCTTGAGGACACACATAGAGCTGTGTGGTCTTCATTCCTCCCTGTGTACTATACATGCACTCAACACGCATATGCTGTGGTTTGTACCACTCGTGTATTGTATTTCTGCACAGTGACCTGCACAGAAACGCTCAGGGCATGTGGGTCTCTCTCTCCAGCTCCCATCAGGCAATCAGAGCTGTATTCTCATTGCAGACTTTTGGGACACGGCAGGCCAGGAGCGGTTCCAGAGCATGCATGCCTCCTACTACCACAAGGCCCATGCCTGCATCATGGTACGAGACCAGGGCGGTGGACAAAGGCATCGGGCAAGTCTGACCTGTGGGGTGAGGGGTCTGGCAGCCCTGAGTCCTCCTAACCACATTTGGGTACTAAGGGGAAGGAGGTCAGGGCCTCCGAGGCATCCTTAAACCACACATGCTCTGCAAAGCTGCTAAGTGAGAACGGAGCAAGTGAGCTCTCTTCTGGTGGCAATTGGTGAAGAAAAGGTGAAGAGCTGCCATATTAGGGAGATCAGCACTCAGGGCTTCAATATCAGGTATAGCATCCAGGAGGAAAATGTGGCTGAAACAGGGACATAATCCCTCCCTGAGGGAGCCACCCTCTCAGATAAGCTCTCAGGCCTCCCTCACCTGATGCCTGTGGCTTTTCTCCAGAGGCAGGTGCTAGGGCTGCATGTTCCCACCCCCTCATTTGCTTTATGGGACATAGTCCTCAAGGTTTCACCCCAGTAGCCAGGTTGTAATGAGTGCCACAAGAGTACCTGAAACATAGCTGTGGGAAAGGCGAGAAAGGAGTCCTTCAGAAGTTCCTTCCCATGAATTCCCTGGCTTGGTTTTCAGGCCACCACTTTTAGATGCTGAAAGGAGCATGTTTTCTTTTTTTTTAGTTTTTTGGGGAATTTGGTCCCTTTATAAACTTTTCATGAGTCTCAGCCATCTATAACATATCAAGTAATAGCCTGGTTTTCTGAATTAGTGAACCCTAGGAGTTGTCACCAAGTGAAAACCCTAGTCATTCACACTTCTTAGAACATCATTTAAGGTCTTGCTTTAACACAAAACCCAAAATTTGGTGACACAAAACAACCATTTTCTAATAAATCAGGAATCTATAATGTCTTGAGTTCTCAGTTGAGAAGACCTAAGGCTGGTCCCAGGCTGGAACCCACTGAGGCATCTCCACACGCAGCAGCCAGGCTGGTGGTAGTTCTGCACACGTGTCTTTCTGCACGTCTTGTCCGTGTGAGCTGACTGGGGCTTGCTGTTGGGGTGATAGCAGATCCTAACAGAGCCCCCAAGAAAACAGGTAGTTGTGTTTCCTTTCATGACTGAGCCATGTAGGTTACATGGTCTCACTCTGGCCTTAGTCACAGGAGGGAGAAGCAGATAGCACTTCTCTGCAAGGGAGCCAGTTGCATGACAAGAGCATATGGGGTGAATGACTGTACTGAGTCTGCTGTACACTCCACAGTATGTAGATGCCACCAGCCTTTCCAGCCTTATGTCCCACTCAGTGCTCATCTGCAGTGTGCTGGGGCTCAGCGTGGTGCTGAGAGGGATGCACAGCTGAACAGAGGGCCACTGCTGTTCTAAGGAGCAACAGCACCAGCATGTGGAAGGAGCTAGTCTGTCCTGCTCACTGCTGCCTGCTCGCTGCACCCCCTTCATGCCCTTCCCTCAGCCCCTGCCAAGTTCACAAGCTTCACTTGAAACTCTGCTCATTTCTCAGCCCTGCTTATTGCTTCTCTGCGCAGCCTCCTCTAGTAATTGTCATTAAAATTACTCTCTCCTGTGTGTGCCCACCATACTCTGACCACTTGTAGCACATGAATTCTGTGTGTGATGTGTGTAAGCAAGGTGCCGTGGGGGGAAAGACACAAGTATGGCCCCCAGGAGCTCACCAGTGGCTAAGCACAAGCCCAGACACCATTGGTGAAAGCATTGAAGTTTCTTCCCGCCTAACCCTTTGCAGATGGTAATAGAAGGAGCTCATCACCTGATTCCTGCCACTGCCCCCCTTAAGCAAAAATCCCTTGAAAATTTCTTTCTTTTTTTTTTTAGTTTCATGAGGTCACTCTCGGTAGAGTACTGTGGCATCATAGCTCACAGCAAGCTCGAACTCCTGGGCTTACACGATTCTCTTGCCTCAGCCTCCCAAGTAGCTGGGACTACAGGTGCCCAGCACAACGCCTGGCTATTTTTTTGCTGCAGTTGTTTAGCTGGCCCAGGCCGGGTTCAAACCGGCCACCCTCAGTGTATGTGACTGACTCCATAACCACTGTGCTACGAGCGCTGAGCCCCCTTTGAAAATTTCTAAAATTTTACTTTATTTATTTAATTTTATTTATCTTTGTTTCAGAATATTATAGGGGTACAGACATTTTTGTTGCATAATTTGCTTTTGTACAAATTGAGTCAAAGTTAAAAGTGTACCCTTAAGCACCAACTGTACCTGGTAGGTATACTAAATTTTGATGTTAAATGTAGGATACTAAACAAAAGAGGGTGGTGGGGTTAGGCACATGGGGGGAGTGTGGTGCAGAACTCTCAAGAATTGGGTAGGTTGGTTCTATCTAGCCATTTAGTTTCACTCCTGCTCTGGCATGGAGTATTTTGAGCTCACTTTTCTTTTCTTTCAGTGACCATTTCCTGACTCTGGTGCATCTCTGTTGGCTACTCTCAGACCCTCTTCTGAGGGCTAGCAGGTGGAAGGCACTCATATCCTGACTGCTAGGGAGCTGTTGGTTGCAGAGGGAGCCAGGGCTCCACTCCCCTCACCTTGAAACCTTGAGACAGGGGAGCTCCTCTGTAGCCAGCTCCTTTCCCACTCCCAAAAACGTGGAAAGGGTGCCCAAGAAACCAAGCCTTGGCTCGGTGCCTGTGGCTCAAGTGGCTAAGGCGCCAGCCACATACACCTAAGGTGGCGGGTTCAAATCTAGCCTGGGCCCGCCAAAAACAACAATGACAGCTGCAACCAAAAAATAGCCAGGTGTTGTGGCAGGCGCCTGTGGTCCTAGCTACTTGGGAGGCGGAGGCAGGAGACTCGCTTGAGCCCAGGAGTTGGAGGTTGCTGTGAGCTGTGATGCCACAGTACTCTACCCAGGGGGACAGCTTGAGGCTCTGTCTCCAAAAAAAAAGAAACCAAGCCTTGACAAAAGGTGCCTGAGCCACATGCTTTATACAAAGTTTTATTGGGAATTCGAGACAATGTGTTTATTTGTCAAAATTGGGCCTGGAAAGTACCATGAAAGATATTCCAGATAGATTTCTTGCCACCTGCTGAAGTTACAGCTGTGATCCATCACCCACACCCATTGGGGCAAGCCCCCTGGCCCTGAGCACGATGAACCATGCTGCTCACACAAAGGGCTCGATGATTCTGAAGTGACATCAGCCATTCTAGCGATTATGGGGCTATTGTCCAGTGACATCAGCCATTCCAGCAGGTATGGAGCTGTTGTCCACAACCGTGATCCACTATTGCACTAGGGAAGTTTGGGCCTGTGAGTCTGCTCTAGAGTCTGCTTTTGTGATCCCTGTAGCAGCAACTTGAGTTGCCTCAAGAGTCCTGCTCTTAGAACTGGTTTGTGGTGCTAATGCTTCCTGCTAATGTTTTAAAATACATGAAAACATTAAATTATGAAAAGGTAATAAAATTAAAAGCTACAGATAAAAGTTAAAAATAACTTCTAAAACATTTAAAGAATGAACAAAAAGAGTAAGCAAAAGCTTAAAATTAAAAGTCAATATTCTGGGCAAAGTGGCTCATGCCTGTAATCCTAACACTCTAGGAGGCCAGTACAGATGGATTGCTTGAGCTCAGGAGTTAGAGACCAGCTTGAGCAATAACAAGACCCTGTCTCTACTATAAATAGAAAAACCAAAGCAAGAGGATTGCTTGAGCCAAAGAACTTGAGGTTTCTGTGAGCTATGATGCCATGGCACTCTACCAAGGGCAACAAAGTCAGACTCTTATCTAAAAAAAAAAAAAAAAAAGTAGGCTTGGCGCCCATAGCTCAGTGGTTATGGCGCCAGCCACATACAATGGGACTGATGGGTTCCAGCCTGGCCAGGGCCTGCTAAACAACAATGACAACTGCAACAACAACAACAAAAATAGCCGGGCATTGCGGTGGGTGCCTGTAGTCCCAGCTACTTGGGAGGCTGAGGCAAGAGAATCGCTTGAGCCCAAGAGTTTGAGATTGCTGTGGGCTATGACACCACAGCACTCTACTGAGGGCAACACAGTGAGGCTCTATCTCAAAAAAATAAATAAATAAATAGAGGAGGTGAATAAAATTAGGTGACGAGATAAGAAAAAAGTAATGAGATTTTTTAAAAACACTTTTGAATCTGGAGGTTCCAGGGGGCTGCTTTCCTGAGAAGTACAGGCACAGCCTCTGTGATCAGAGGGACTGCAATTCAGAGTGTGTGTCTGGTCTGAGTTCCCATGCCTGTGGCATATGCCCATGTTCACCTGCTTGGGTGTGTGAGTCACCTGAAAGTAGAGTGCAGAGACACTGACATGCCTGCACTGTCTTCCTCACTTTTGCAGGTATTCGACGTACAGAGGAAAGTCACCTACAAGAACCTGAGCACCTGGTACACAGAGCTTCGAGAATTCAGGCCAGAGATCCCATGCATCGTAGTGGCCAACAAAATTGATGGTGGGGCCATCCCTGCACCTGTGTCAGCAACTCATGAAGGACCCACCACTATATATCTCCCCCTCCCCTCCTGAGGCAATCAACCTCCAGTGATTAGTCCTCCTCCCCAAAGATGGGTTACATTACTCCCTTCCTTGTAAAGATACTAACTGAACCAACCTGCCATCTTCCCAGAAGACAAGATTCCCACAGATTTCTATTTAATGAACTTTTTCTGGGACATGTTCCTCAACTGTCCCTGCCTATCCAATTTTCTGGAATGGGGCCTCCAGTGACTCACCCTCCAAACTACTCTGTCTCTCCCTTCATAGACAGGCCAATTTCCTATCTTCTCTCTACAGCAGACATAAAGGTGACCCAAAAAAGCTTCAATTTTGCAAGGAAGTTCTCCCTGCCCCTGTACTTTGTCTCAGCTGCTGATGGTACCAACGTCGTGAAGGTATGGTGGGCTACAGAGGTCACCTAGCAAGGTTCAGGTGCTAGGTGGTTCAGTGACCAGGGAAGCCAAGAAGAGATGAGCTGGCTTGCTAGAAAGAACAGAGACAGTGAGTGAGCATGTGCAGCAGAGAAGGGAGAGGGTGATGGGCCTAGGCTGGATGAAGCCAAAGTCCATCTGTATGAAGTCAAGGTGATGGGAAAAGGTAAATTGAGGGATAAACTTGCTGATTTTCAAGGTGGAGTGTTGTGTGGACTCACAGTGGGGCCCATGATTGCAGACAGATAGAGTCTAGGACCCCTACCCACAATCTCTGCTTTACCCCCAGCTCTTCAATGATGCCATTCGATTAGCTGTGTCTTACAAACAGAACTCCCAGGATTTCATGGACGAGGTTTTGCAGGAGCTTGAGGTAGGTCAGGCGCACGTTTCAGTTGCCATAGAAAAAACGGGACTTCTCTTCAGGGATAATGGACTGAAACCCAATTTAGGAGCTCTTGCCTGCCTTTGCCACCCTAAAGGTACCAGGGCTACAGCTGGGCAAATGCAGAGCCAGGCCTCACTTGCAACCTTGTCCACAGAACTTCAAATTGGAGCAGAAAGAGGAAGATGTGCCAGACCCAAAGCAGAGTGGCGTCATCGAAAGCCCATCACAGCAGGCAGCCTCTCCCCACAGCTGATGAGCAGGGTGGGGCCCTTTCTAAATACCCCAGCACCCTCCATTTCTGAATGGAGACACTCCAGGCCATCCCTTATTTCACCTCTTGTAAACCTGCCTGTCCTATTTTCCTAGCTCAGGCTACATGGATAAGGTCGGCACTAGCGAACTCTCTGGACAGGTGTGAGAGGTCCATACTAGACCTTGAAGCAGAATTAGGGATCAATATCATTAACACCTTCTCTATCCACTACCGCACAGGCCAGACAGTTAAGAGGATCAGGGAAGATCGTTGGGTGTCTCTTTAATAAAAGGAAATTTAGGTTGTTGGGTTTTTTCCTTCCTAAAACTATCCTCTGGGATTTTTCCTTATGTTTCTGCTGAAGCAGTGGCTACCCCTGTTGCCATCACCACACAGTCTGTGGGCCCCACACCCTTTCGCTCCTGATCATCCATCCTTTTTCCTCTTTAGTCTTCCAACTGTCCTTATCTTAAGATGTTCTTGAGCAGACTTTTGAACACCTCCTGTTTCAAGAGCTCTTTTAGGTAAGGCTGAGATTATAGGAACCGGCTTGCCTTTGGCACTAAATAGAAGGTAACAGGTCCAGCCTAGTAAAACATAAGCATTATTGGTAAACATCAGGGGTTAAGACACCCATTGAGATTAAAGAAATTGACTTTAAGGAAATCTTCCTTTAAAACCCCAATTCCAGCATAAGAGGCCGCCTGTGTACCTCCTGCAGGAGGCAGGGGCTACAGGAGTGTCTGCCATCTACACTCCTCTCTAGGACTTGTGCTTGGCTAATATGTTTTTATGATCATCTTGTACATCATTTGCATTGTTTTCATTAATTTATTTTGTTTTTATTGTTTCCTTTTTTACAGTAAAGGTTGAGAGTTACACAAATATTGAGTATATGTGCATGCTTTATAGGTCTGAAGAGTACTCAGTGAAAAAAAGAATTTGCAGATCATTAGCCACGTTAATGAGGCCACAGGGTAACATAGGTTAACTCTTCATTTGCTGTAAGAGAGCATTTCAGTGGAATTTGGCATTTTAAAAAGAATAAGTATTAAATTAGGAGCTCAAGAACAAATGTTTACCCTCTATTTTAGTGATACATGTTCAATGTAAGATATTTCACCTGACTGGGGGTTTCTAGGAATGTATTACCCTGATAAGGTGGGTTAATTATTGTAAATGAGTAATAAATATTTCTCTAAAATACAACCGTCTGGGCAGTGCCCGCAGCGCAGTGGGTAGGGCACCGGCCACATACACCAAGGCAGATGGGTTCAAACCCACCCAAGCCTGCTAAACAACAACTACAACAAAAAAATAGCTGGGCGTTGTGGTGGCTTATAGGCTGAGGCAAGAGAATCGCTTAAGCCCAAGAGTTAGAGGTTGCTGTAACCTCTAACATGGCACTCTACCAAGGGCGACAAAAGTTAAGACTCTGACTCAAAAAAAAACAATAAATAAAAATAAATATACAGCATTTTGCTGAGGTAGAATCCACATACCATAAAATTTACCATCAGTATTGGCTTTACATAACTTTTATGTTAGGTTCCCTAGATGCAGAGCCCAAGAAGACAGTTGTTCAAATGACTCACTGGGGTCGTTCTCTCAGAAGAAAAGTGAGGGGAGCACAGGACTGGGGGAAGAAAATTAAGCAAAGCTGTGGTCTCGGCTGGAAGCAGCTTCACTGCCTCACATCCCAGGGATGCTCTGGTGGGCAGATTAGCCCAGAGAATCCCTGCTCACCTCAAGACCAGGCCCCTTCTGTGCCAGTCCCCATGTGTGTAAGATGGAAGGGTAGCTCATAGCCTCCAGGACAGAGTTGCCCTGTTTTAGCTAGGTCAATTCTCTATTTAAAAAAAAAAAAAGGGCAGCTACAAGAGGTTTTTTGTTTTATTTTTAGAGATAGGGTCTCTGTCGCCTAGGCTAGAGTGCTGGAGTGCAGTGGTGCAATCATAGCTCACTGCAACCTCCAACTCCTCGGCTCAAGTGATCCTCCCACTTCGTCCTCTTGTGTAGCTGCAACTACAGGTGTGCACTGCCATGCCCAGCTAAGTTTTAAATATTTTATAGAGACAGAGTCTCCCTGTTGCCCAGGATGGCCTTGAACTCCTGGCCTCCAGCAGTCCTCCTGCTTTGGCCTCCCAAAGTGCTGGGATTATAGCAGTGAGCCATCACGTCCGGTCATCTTTGAGTTTTATCTATCAACACAGAGCAACTGGGGGACAAATGTTCAAGCAAATATGCCAATACCCACCCACCTTTATGTTGCTGAGACCTACTTGCTTAGAGACTGGCCATAGTTCAGGGGAAATGCAGTGGAAGAGGGTCTGTGGGAAGGGACAAACCATAGCCACCACTTTTGTGGGTGACCCTGTGCAGACACTGATACTTAGCATCTCTCATCCTCTGTAAGATGATCTAGATCAGTAGTTCTCAACCTTCCTTTAATACAGTTCCTGGCTCGGCGCCTGTGGCTCAAGCGGCTAAGGCGCCAGCCACATACACCTAGGGTGGCGGGTTCGAATCCCCAGCCCGGGCCGCCAAACAACAATGATGGCTGCAACCAAAAAATGGCCAGGCGTTGTGGCGGGCGCCTGTAGTCCCAGCTACTTGGGAGGCGGAGGCAGGAGACTCGCTTGAGCCCAGGAGTTGGAGGTTGCTGTGAGCGTGATGCCATGGCACTCTACCCAGGGGGATAGCTTGAGGCTCCGTCTCAAAAAAAAAAAAAAAAGATACAGTTCCTATGGATTGTGACCAGGTTGAGAACTGCTGGTCTAGGTGGTCTGCTTTGAGGGACTGAGCATGCTGCTCTTGCCTGAGAGGTCTGAGTCCCAGCTTGCTACATCTTTATGAAGCTGTTATTGTCCTTACATTGTTACAACTGAATAGACCAGAGATAGCATGAACACCTGAGTACCAAACTCATTACTACTCTCTGCCTCTTTAATGTAGCAACATTATTTTCTCATAATGAGGATCAGAGTCAATTACCTCTTTCTAGAATGCTAACTCCATTTTTTATTGTTTTTGAGACATAGTCTCATTCCATAGCCCTGAGTAGAGTGCCTTGGTATCATCGCAGCTCACAGCAACCTCAAACTCTTGGGTTTGAGCAGTCCTCCTGCCTCAGCCTCCTGAATAGCTGGGATTACAGGCACCTGCCAATATGCCCAGCTAGTTTCTCTATTTTTAGTAGAGATGGAGTCTCACTCTTGCTCAGGCAGTCCACCTGCCTCAACTTCCCAGAGTGCTGGGATTAAAGGCATGAGCCACTGTGCCCAGACTCATAATGCTAACCCCTTTCTTTCGTTGTCAGTTAACTAGCACATCCTGGAGTATCCAGGGAGCAGCCATAGCTTTATATTTCATGAAACTCCTACTGTGTCACTTAGTGGGAATGTCCCCCCACTCCCATAGACTAATACCTCACAGAGCCTAAAGTCACAGACGGAAAACACAGATTCTCCAAGGTGTTACTGGGTGTCATAGTGAACAGGGCAGTCCTGTGTCCACCCCTGGGTTATCAGACATGTTGGGGACACAAAACCACATGAGAATTGAACTGTTATGGCACCTTGCAGGGCCTTGTCCTTACAGGGTGTTGTTCCCAAGCTGACACTTAAGCTCCGCCTTTAAGAGGGTATCCCAGTGCTCCATTAGACCAGCAGCTTCCACATGGCATAGCATCTGGTGGGTCCTGCAATCCCTGTGCTCACCTCTGCACTTCCCAGGCAGGATCTTCTGTTGGTGTGGTGCCAGCAGCTCAATGCTCATCTGTGTTACTGACAGGTTTGCAGCAGCTTAGTTGATCAGCCTTAGCAAAAAGGAGCACCTGCTTGGGCCTAGGCATAGCCTCCAACTCTGCCACTGTGGCCATTTGACTCATGAACCCATTAAGCACTGAGTGGCCAAGGACAGAGGCTGGCTAGCCTCTGGTCAGCTCATCCTGCCTGCCTGCTTGTTTGGCACCCCTCTTGTAGTGATAACCATAGTGGTAATTAACCTACAAAACAAAAATTGACAATAATGATATATATGTATAGTTCTGTAGTTTCTTGTGTTGAATTTCTTTGATCTTACTCCTTTCAGGCTGGCAACCAACTGAGCCACTCACTGCTACCTGAAATTATGGCTTTGCAAATAGTACTTTAAATTGACCCAGAATACTGCCTGATACAAAAAAGTTTATAGATCCAGAAGAAACCTATTCTGTACAACAGAATACTTTGAAAACTCTTCTAAGTCATAACTAAATAATCACGTAACATATCTACTCACAGAGTAAGTGACTAAGAAGCAATTTGCACTAAATATGGTTCTCATCTTCTAACCAGTATACTATTACCAGGGTAAGAGTAAAACTAGCAAAATGGATCACTTCTCTCTAAGCTACCAGTTGTTTTTATTTCCCTAGAGTCTCCATAATAGTGACTTAATTAATTGCAAATAATTATTTTCACTGAAGCAGATTTTACACGTTTTTGAAAAATTCCTTCTTGAAATTGTATAGCATTCTTTTGTCATTGGAACATTCAGGCACCCATTGAAAAACATTTTCTACAGATCCTATTTTTTTATAAAAAGTTATGCCATTTCCACCTAAATAAGATGATTCCTATTCCTTAAGAATACTTATTTCAATTTTTTATCATTATTACTAAAATAATACCTTGATTGTGTTAATTTATTTTACTATTGAGGTGTTTTCCTATTATATTTTCTATATTAGATTCTAATTTCTGAAATAGGTTATTACCCAAAATCTTAAAAACAGAGAACTAGAACTGAAGTTATGGTTTATAAAATATTAATGATACTGTATTTTAGTACTGCTACTAAAAGTTCAGCACTTGTGCCTGAGCCCACATCAGAAGAATGAGGACGAGTAGTTTCTGGAAAAGGAAAGAGAAGTTTATTAATTTACCAGCAAATGCGGAGGTTGTCAGGTTCATCTTAAAGTACCAGTGCCCTGCCTCTGAGCAGAAATATACAGCTTTTAAAGGAAGGTTTTCAGCTTCAAGCTATTACTTGTAGTTGATGGTTCTGATTCTTCCAATCTTCAGCTAAGATAACCTCCAGTCAAGACCTTTGGCAGAACAATTCCCTAAGGCCATCTCCTGTGGTACAAAAAACAAAGAACATTCCTCCTGCCCCTCCTGACCACTTCCCTGAGGAAGGGATGCTGGTTTTAATTCCCAAAAAGAGTATGGGAGGTTATAGAGAGAAAGAAAACATTTTTACCCTTTTTCAGGCCACTGTCCCTGTTATATATTCTCCACTGTCAATTTTACCCTTCCATATCTGTTGGAAGAATGGCAACATGGTCATCGAGCTGAATTGGAGCAATGTTCTAGATGGAAGTTGCCAGTAGATTTACAAAAATAAGTAATTCAATAGAGGCCGGTGTGATGGCTTACACCTGTAATCCTAGCACTCTGGGAGGCCAAGATAGGTATATTTCTTGAGCTCAGGAGTTCAAGACCGTCCTGAGCAAAGCAAGACCCTAGGCATACTAACTAGCCAGGTGTGATGGTGAGTGCCTGTAGTCCCAGCTATTCCAGAGCTGAAGCAGGAAAATCACGTGAGCCTAGAAGTTTGAGGTTGCTGTGAGCTCAAGGCACTCTAGCCTGGGTAACAGAGTGAGGCTCTGTCTCAAAGAAAAAAGCCAGGGCATGCCTGTAATCCTAGCATTCTGGGAGGTCAAGGTGAGTGGATTGGCTGAGCTCAGGAATTTGAGACCAGCCTGAGCAAGAGCAAGACCCTGTCTCTAAAATATAGCCAAGCATTGTGGCAGACACCTGTGGTCCCAGCTACCAGGCTGAGGCAAGAGAATTGCTTTGAGCCCAAGAGTTTGAGATTGCTATGAGCTA